TCAGCGAGACTCTAATAAACCGGCCTGTGTTCCGTGACTCCTATGAACCTAGAGCTCTGATACCAACTTGTCACGACCCCAGTTCACCCTCCATGAACATGTCGTGATGGCACCTAGTTCCTACAACTAGGTAAGCCTAACAGTGCGGAATAACAAATTAACATTTGCGGAATAATTAATTAAAACTGAACATACGGAAATAACAACTGTATATAAGGCCACTCGGCCTATACAACTCAAAATATGCGGAAGTCTACAACTAAATCCCAAAACCCGGAAACTCACGGGAAAACACAGGCTAATAGAGATGTAGTAATCTGCTCTACACCAGAATGTCTAAACAACATGAAAGGAAAGAAAAGGAAACTATCTGCTAAAGCCGGAATAGAGTAGAGACTCCTGGTCTGCGGACGTAGCAGATATACCTCAAGTCTCAGCTAGGTCTCTCCACCACGGGGATGATACGCCTGGGAGGAAGTACCTGAATCTGCACATGAAAGACATGCGCAGGAAGGGCATGAGTACACCACAGTGGTACTCAGTAAGTGCCAAGCCTAACCTCGATCGGGTAGTGACGAGGAAGGTCTGGGCCCTACTGAGATAACATAATAAATAATGAAATAACAGAAGCAGTTTAAATAAAGTCTACAGCGAGAATCTAAAACAGGTAAATAAGGAAGAACAGTAATAGAAAACAAAGGTAACAATACACGGAAAAACTGCTCTCAACAAGGAATGGTAGCCGGGGGATCTCTTGGTATCCTCATCATCAACACTGGGGATCTCCCGGTATCCCGAGGATCTCTTGGTATCCTCATCATCAACACTGGGGATCTCTCGGTATCCCGAGGATCTCTTGGTATCCTCAATAAGTAAGTCGGGGATCTCTTGGCATCCCAATAAATATATATATATAGAATCACATGTGCTAGGGATCTCTTGGTATCCCGCACCCTCAGTCCAGAATATCTCAAGTACAGGGGGATCTCTCGGGAAGCCGTCCCGTAGTCCCAAATTAAACACATAACAACAACGATTCATAAATCTCAGAACAATACTAAAAATCAGGACACGAAGTAGTAAATTATAGCCTAACATGCTTCACGGAGTACAAATAGCACAGTTAAAGCAAATAAGCAAGTAAGCCAGCTAAACATAAGTCCCTAAGCTAGCACATGTACAAACTTACAGTTAAAGTGAACAAGTAAACAAGAAAACTCAATTTAAATTCTTCAAGTAGAAACGGATTTACAAAAATTAGCTCAAGTACGCGCTCGTCACCTCACGTACGAGGCATTAAAATATTCAAGGTCATATCCTAAGGGAAAAGGTCCCCCACACAAAGTTAGACAAGCCACTTACCTCGAACCTGTTCAATATCAACTAGAAACCACGCTCTTGCCACGAGTATCCGACTCTAAATGGCCCAAATCTATTCAATTCAATTACACATTGTAAATAATATTGCAAACAACTGATTCCGCTATTAAAATTAAAGCTAAGGCGCAAAAATAGATAAAATGACCAAAACACCCCTCAAGCCAACGCCTCGGAATCGAATAATTTTCACATTTTTAGAACCCTCGTACCCTGACGAGTCTAACCATATAAAAATCTCCCAAATCGGAGGTCAAATGCCCACTCAAAACTCAATATTTTAGGTAATGAAGTTTTACCCCAAATTATCCAATTTTTGATCCTAAATTCGAATTCCGATGATGTATTTAACTATATAATGATGAAATATAACAAGAAGGGACCAAAGAAACATTAACCAGTGATCTTCACTTCAAAACCCACTCAAAATTGCCTTAAACCGAGCTCTCAATTGATTTTGCAAACTTATGAAATTAAACCCTCGACGTTTCTATTTCTACCCAGGGATTTCCGCTTCTGCGGAGAAGCGGTCCCGCTTTTGCGGAACACTGGCCGCTTCTGCTGCTTCCTTTAAAATCCCAGCTTCCGCTTCTGCGGTTCCCATCTCGCAGAAGCGGATCCGCTTCTGTGAAATTCCTACCGCTTCTGCGGTTTCCTGGAAGGTGACCAAAAATCGCTTCTGCGAAGCCAAGGCCGCTTTTGCGGCTCCGCTTCTGCGGTTCCCAAGCCGCAGAAGCGAAAAGATACCAAAAGCAGCAGAACTGCTACCTCTTAACTTCCAAACTTCTTCCGTTAACCACCCGAAATCATCCCGAGGCCCCCGGGACCTCAACCAAAAGCACCAATACCACCTAATACCTTATTCAAACTTGCACCAATCTTAAAAACACCTAAAACAACACCGGAAACCCGATTAAATCAAGGATTCAAGCCTAGGAACTTCAATTTCCAACAAAACACGCTTCGATCAAAAACCTACCCGAACCTCGTCCGAATGACCTGAAATTTTGCACACACATCCCAAATGACATGACGAAACTGCTGTAACTTCCGGAATTCCAATCCGACCCTCGGATCAAAAACTCACTATTGGACTGGAAACTTCAAAAATTCAAACTTCGGCATTTCAATCCTAAATAAGCTACGGACTTCCAAAATACATTCTGAACACGCTCCCAACACCGAAATCACCTAACGATGCTAACGGAACCATCGGATTTTCATTCCGAGGTTGTCTTCACACTGTTCCGACTACGAACCATTTTTCAACACTTAAGCTCTCATTTAGTGACTTAGTGTCCCAAAACTCTCTAAAACTTAACACCGAACGTCCCGGCATACCAAAATAGCAGAAATAAACTTAGGGGAAGCAGTTAATGGGGGATCGGGGCGTAAATTTTAAAAACGACCGGCCGGGTCGTTACTGTCGTGACAAAAGCTTTTGGAATGAACATTTAATAGACAGAATTAGTTAACCTATAAACCAAAAATATACAAAGGACAGGGGATAATTAACAATTTAAAAGAGAAAAAGGTAACATTCGTTCTATTAAAAACATACGTGAAAATAATAACAAGTTTTTATTATTCTATCAATAATATCTAGTGTTCGCAAAGAAAAAACTTTTCAAAAGAACCATTTACAAATTAAAAACGGAAAAAGCCTAAAAAGGCCACTCAACTTTCAGAAATGGTTTATCCATGCCATCCGTTAAAATATTGCTATTTCCATGCCACTGTCGTTAAAAAAATGGCCCATCCATGCCATTAATGACTAACGGCTCAATTTTTATTTGGCCCATCCATGCCACTGCCGTTACTCAATAATGGCATGGATGGGCCATTTCTTTAACGGCAGTGGCATGAAATGAGCATTTTTTAACGGATGGCATGGATAGACCATTTCTAAAAGTTGAGTGGTATTTTTAGGCCTTTTCCGAATTAAGAATAAAACTTGATAGCACGCACCTATTTATATTAACATCTCTGCTGATAGAAAATAGGCTAGGAAAATTGTCCAAATGCATATGGAATTCTCTGAAAATGCTTATATCGAAAATTGTCCAAATGCATATGGAGTTCTCTGAAAATGCTTATTATATAAGTATGTAGTTTGTAGAGAAGGTTGTTGTTATTGGTTCTTCAGCCATATCGTACTAGTCAATGAACCTTTTGTTGCAAATTGTGTGCTTGATTTTTCACTGTAGAGGTCTTAAGTTATTTGATGACTGTGGATTGAATTGCCTGGTTAAAATTGTGTGTGCAAATATTCAGACCATTTGATGACTTCAAGATCAGCTTCTGATGTATGCAAATATTCAGACCGTTTTGGATTCTTGACTACACCACAAAGGCTTCTCCATCGCCGTAGCATCTCATCCTCCGAGTGCTTCGGCTTCACTCCTCCAAAATTATCATTCAAATAGCTCTCCAATTTTATTCTTTTTCATTCTCTGCTTATATGCTACAACTATAAAAGTAATACATAGACAAACTGTCACTTACAAAAAAGAAAGGCAGCACATTGAGAACAACAGTAACGCGGTGAAAAAATAAAAAGAAAGAAACCGTTAAATGGGCATAAGAATAAGTTTCTAAGACATTGTTACACGATTTGGGGGAAGAATATATTTGCAGAAACAAAAGTAGGCATTGTTATCAAAGAAATTGTGTGCAGGTCTTTTTATAATTTTCCACAATCTGCAGCTCCCCATGAGAAGGCATTGTTATTCAAAGAAGGAACAGTTTTTTTGCAATTGATTAATACTAGTCATCTGATCGTTGTACTATTTCAATTTCTTGTTTATAGCCATTAGTGTATACTTTAATGGATCTATGTTTTTGCATTAGTTTTTAATTCTTTATTACTAAAGTGGCATACATTTCTTATGTTAACAGATCAAGTATTTGAAGTCCGAAGAAGCTATCCTTGAAGAAAGTGTAGAGCAACTTCAAGTACCAGAGGTTTATATTTTGTTAGGAATGGTTTAAACACACTATACATATGTTGTAATTTTTTTTCTCTTCTTAGGAATTATTTAAAATGATGTCATATGATTTAGATTTGTTTCTGGTAAATATGACACTTTAATTCTTTGTATTGACAAAGATACCAAGTATTTGGTTTATTTTAGAGTGTTGTAGGGTGTTTATGAAAGCATATAAATAATTATTTCTATACATTTAATTTAAATTTTTGTACTTATATTTAGTATTGTTTTACATTAGCAAAGAAAAATGTGGTCATTGAAGCTCTTAAATAATAGCTTTCTCAAACAGATAAATGGACATTAACAAAGGTAAATTTGGTTCTTAAAAGTAATACAAATAACGAAGGGAATATTGGTCGCTAAAAGCACTTCCAATGACTGAATTAGTTGTTGTCATCAAAGACTTTTAACGACTGGATAATAATTTAACAAAGGGAAAATGTGGTCATTAAAAAGGATGTATAACGATTGAAAAATATGTCGTCGCTAAAGGATCTTTAACGACCGCATTGTAATCCGGTCGTTAACTTTTAACGTCGGGGCTTTTAACGACCGGTGACGACCGGATTTTTTTTGGTTGTTATTAACTTATAACGACCGGATTTGGACTTTTAACGGCCATATTTTCCTTCGCTAAAGGCCTATTTTCTTGTAGTGATCCCCACATAATTTCAGTTGGGAAGTTATTCGAAATACAGCAGAGTTATACTCACTTACGGTCTTAAAATCTTGCAACTGTAGGTGCATCCACTCATATCGAGCCCTTGGCAATACCATAGCCTTAAGGTGATCATACCTTTCCTTCAGGCCAGTCCACAATTCAAGTGGATCTTTCACTGTCAAATATTCAACCTTCAAACCTTCATCCAAATGATGAGGAAGGAAAATCATGGCCTTCGCTTTATCTTGGCTTGATGCCTCATTACCCTGAGTAATGGTGTTACCAAGGCCTTTAGCGGCTAAGTGAATCTCAGCATCAAGAACCCATGATAGGTAATTCTTTCCAGAAATGTCAATTGCCACAAACTCAAGCTTTGACAAATTCGACATAGTGAAAACTATCAAAGATGATAAATAATTAGGAATCATTAAGATAATAGCTGTAAAGAATCTTAAAATTGACATAATATCAAATTGTGATCTACATACACTAAAGTGATAATTCTATAGAAAAGAATACTATTTGTTTCTTCAAATTATTAGTATATCTTTGATGTTAACTAGAACAAAAATGTCGTCTAACTTTAACACAATTTCAAATGTCGAACAACATAAAATAAGTATTCTTCTCTCAATCAATTCTATTCACATGAAAATTAGCAACTTTCACATGACAATCATACAAATAACTTAAAATAAATAAACATAGAATTCTTTATTTTTACACATATCTAGAGATGTGAGAAATTATAAAACTGCATATTAAAGACTAATCATGAAATCAAAATATACAACGAAGAAAATAAAATGAACAAATATACCTGAACAACGGAAAGAGCTCAACATCGTGCTGATAACGTGTTAAAAAATGTAGCTCAAAGTAACAATGTAAAATAAGAAGATAAGTAGAATAAGAGGAGAAGAGATAACTTTCTTATTTCATCAAATGTTCAAGTGTATCCAATATCACATTTCATGCCTCTATTTATACTATTACATAGAAGGTTACAAAATGATTGTCTTAAACATGACATTAACAATTGAGATCATGGGGGAAGATCATGGGGAGGGGTTATGGAGGTGTGGAAGTTACAATCATAATGGTGATGAGTAGTGGGAGGTTATTTACATCATGGGTGAAAGTAGTGGACATCCATATTTACTAAAGATTTTATAACAGGTACGAATTTCTGGAATAATTCCATTACTCGGAGGAACATATCCAGAGTCCATATTCAAATGGCCACTCAACTATCCCAAATTATTTCTTAAAGTCATTTTTCTTTCGTTTGTAACAACAAAGTTACTGAACTATGCCTATTGCACTCAGAAGGTCACTCAATTAGCTTTTCCAAATTTTGGATTGACAAATACCTATTTTACCCTCTAAATTATAAATATTTTTCTTCTTTTCATTTTTTTAAGATTTTTTTAATATTATGATTTTTCCCTTTTTAATTTACATTATGGACTTACCTATAAAACAACCTCTCTACTCCTTCCGGGTAGGGGTAAGGTCTGCGTACACACTACCCTCCCCAGACCCTGCTAGTGGGATTTCACTGGGTTGTTGTTGTTGTTGTATGGACTTACCTATAGAATAAATAAATATTATTATAAATTAAAAAAAAGTATTTAAGCATATATAATGCTGGAATAATAAAATAATGAGCATAGTAAAAAATTAATTAGAATAATTTGTTAGTAATAATAATTTTAGTATTAACAACAAAAATTCAAAAAATTATTTACATAATTCAGAGTGAAAGAAAATAAAGGTTGTAAAATATATATTACATGCATATAATATAAAAATAATTATTTAAATAAAGGTATTTTTATAATATACATTATATATTTTTGAAAAAATTGTTCTCAATTATATTATATATATTTCATGCACGACTTGACATAGCATATTTTACCCTATACAGATAGTCCCCCTGCTTTCCGGTGACATAACTTTGTGTCGTCGGAAAGTTGGTAGAAACTTAATAATATAATGAGCATAATTTTCAAGAATATATAATGTATATTATAAAAATACCTTTATTTAAATAATTGTTTTTATATTACGTGCATGGAATATATATTTTACAACCTTTATTTTCTTTTATTAAGAATTGTGTAAATAAATTTTTGAATTGTTTTGTTAATATTAAAAAGTTTAAAAAAAAATAAAAGAAGATAAATGTTTATAATTTAGAGGGTAAAATAGATATTTGGCAATTCAAAATTTAGAAAATCTAGTTGAGTGACCTTCTGAGTGCAATAGACATAGTTTAGTGACATTGTTGTTACAAACGAAAGAAAATTGATTTTAGAAGACAATTTGGGATAGTTGAGTGACCATTTGAGTAATTGACTCACATATCTACTACGAAAAAAATCCAAACATCCCTCATACCTCGGCAACTAAGGGACGTTTATGGCCACTAGTTGGTCACAATGAGGGGTAATGGACAAGGGGGGGGGGGGGAGGGGTTTACATTTTTTTCTCTTATTCAATTTTTTTTAATAATGATGGTGCACAGCCGAAACTTCGACTAGTTCAATGGATATTTATAGCCTGTTTGGCCAAGCTTTTTTTTGGCCAAAAGTATTTTTTTTTTTTGCCAAAAGCACTTTCGGCAAAAAATTGAGGTGTTTGGCCAAGCTTTTGGAAGGAAAAAAAGTGCTTTTGAGGAGAAGCAGAAGCAGTTTTGGAAAAGCAGAAAAAAATAGCTTCTCTCCAAAAGCACTTTTTTGAGAAGCACTTTTGAGAAAAATACACTTAGAAGCAGTTTTTTAAAGCTTGGCCAAACACTAATTGCTACTCAGAAGTGCTTTTCAAACTAATTAGCCAAACACAAACTGCTTCTCACCAAAAGTACTTTTGAGAAAAACACTTTTGAAAAAAAACACTTCTCAAAATAAGCTGATTTTTGCAGCTTGGCCAAACGGGCTATAAGTGCTTCTTATCAATACAGATACAGAATAATTTCTTCTATCAAAACTTAGGTAAATAGCAGAAAATCATATAGCGATTTTTTTACATGCTAGAATTCAAATCGTATTCGTGATGATTTTGGCTCATTTGGATTCTTAACCACTAGATTACATCCTTAAATGCTAAGTAGAATGCTATTTATGTCCCTACCCATCAGTGAACCTCTTGGAAAATGCCAAGAAAAGAGAGGGAACAAAACATCAATGGAGCCACTTCTAGGTTTTAATCATAGATATGCCCAACTCCATTTAATATGCTAAGTTCGCTAAGCTAACTTTGGGCCATCTATCCCATATCAAAACTCTTTGGGCCCTTTTGATTTGATTCATAAAAGTAGTATAATACTTGCATAAATATCAACATTAATATATATTATTTGATTGTTTTTCATAGTCAACATAAATAATATGATTTATAAATTATTTTATGTTGAATAGAATATGGAATAAGAATATGTATATTAGTGATACGTGGATTAAATAACAAAATTGATGAAAACACCCTCCTACACTTTAGAATATATGTTTTAAAAATATTAACCAAATCGGGACACGAGGTAAAAAGAAGAAATTAAAGCAACACTACCAATTCAGGACCCTACATGTTTGGGATTATAATATAAGATAGGGGGCCTCTGGTACGTCATATTGACCGTGTGTGCAACACTCTTTTTTTTCTTTAGGTACTGTTTCGATTAATTTGGATTTTCATTGGAAAAATTTCTAAAAGGGTAACGTATTTCATATAATTAAGAGATTTTTACATTCACAGCTCTAGCTCAGAATTTCTAGTTAAGAGTAAAAAGACCCGACCCAAACCATCACACCACACCCATTGGTCGTGACTCGTGAACCACTACGCTCACACACAAAACAACGAAATGACACTTGGAATTTATTATTAGGAGACAACCACCTACTCCAGATTTAATGTAAAATTGTTTGTCAAATATTATAGTAACACGTTCTAAATAAACCAATTCAATGGCCAACAAGTGATTCCTTGCTCTTTTTGGTTTTCTTATTTGGATGTCGTTAACTTTTTTGCTTTTTTTCATTTTTTTTTTTTCATTTTGGGTCAACAAACTTTGCCTCCACCATTAAAGTTCTATTATAGATTTATAGTAAAAACGAGAGTGTGTGAAAAGGGGAAAATGTCTAACATTTTTTAGCTCATCGATCCGCATGATGATCTTTCAAAAAGTTTAGGAAGGTACAGCTCTCCCGTTTTGCTTCATATGATATTATCTTTTTTGGAAAGTCACAAGATCTTTTTTTGTCTGCAACTTCTTAATATATTTTAAATATCTTTACTATTGAAGTTGCAATTTATAATGTTTTTATAATTTCTAGCTATGTATTTTTTTATTTTAAGAATATAAAAATATCAATGTTCGAATTAAGATCGAGAATTAGAAGGTTCAGCCTCAATTTCAAACTCTAATATTTTCGAAAGGAAGGAAAGTATATGAAATCCGCTGCTAAAAACAACAACGTACTGCTAGTCAAGCATAGCCATATGTTTTAGGAGTGTAAAATAAAATAATTATAACAGCATGACGTTTTATTATAAGTGATCATTCCCCAGCCATTTATAATCAATGTCAAACATGAAAACTTGAAACAGTCACCCAAAATTTCTCAATTCAGCTAACCAATTAGGCAAACAAATCTGGAGTGGAGGACCCACTTATTCAACTAGTTTGGACCCACTAACATGTGACTCATGTGCAGTCTAAATATTTTAAATAAAATTTTAAATAAATTTCTACATATTCTGATTTATTAAGTTATACTTATACGAACCACAATATGTTAGCATAAGGTTGTCTGCCTCCCTGGTAACAAAGGCCGAAAATTGTCTTCGTGGAAATGGTTCAATATTTGGCAAATTGACCTCGGTTTTATTTGTAATTACGAGTTTAAATTCATTCACCAATTAAATTGTTTATTCTCTTGTTACATGTGTTTACCCTCAAAATTGGATAACAATTGAATTTGTAAGTGGTTTTAAGGATACGTGGATTAAATTGACACAAAGTGATAAATTAAATTGCAAATGAAATGAAATATGATAAAGTAAATTCAAGCCACACGAATTGAACAGTTACAGCCTTGGGTTATGAGCCACCCTTAAACAGAATGCACTTCGATCAGTGTCAAGACACAGTTAAGTATGAGCTTAAAGAGAAAATAACAGTATATTGCTTCTGAATGCGTGTTACAATGTGTTTTACAAGTAATCAGACCCTCTTTATATAGTAGGGGAGACATATATTAGGTACAACTCTACAAAAGGTAAAGATCTCTTGATTTGCAGGTTCCTTATTGATACGTGCCGAGATTCCCACCGTAATATCCGACCGGTCACGGGTATTTCGGCCCTCTGTTATTTCGGTCTT